GGCAGGGGAAAGTAAAGAAGGGAAAGGAAAAATGCTGAGAAATGGAAAAAATGGAAATAAAGTCTTTGTAAATAGGGAGGGGTGGCTAGGAATGGGTACAAAATAAGAACCAAGATGCATTATGTAAAGGTACGAGTTCCCAGTGAGAAATGCCAGTGTGTTGTATACCTAAAATGTACCAATAAAATAATTTAAGAAAAAGAAAAAAAAAGTTGTAGAGTGAATGTAGTATGTCCTCTTTGATAATGCAGTAGGATCTGGTAAGGACATCTGTAAACCTTCACTAATGACAGTGAAGTGAGCTAGCTTCTTTGGGCATATAGAGAGCTCTAGTTATGTCTGTCCTAGGGCAGCATTTCTCATATTTGAATGTACTTTGGAATCACCTAGAGGCCTGTGAAAACACAGATTTGCTGGTCCCAACCCCATGGTTTCCAATTCATTATCTCATTATGTGCATATCTGGCACATTCTCAAGTTATGCTGAGGCTGCTGCTCTGGGAACCACACTTAGAGAGCCACTGGGCTCCATAGGAGAACAAACCACTGTTTTTGAGAAGAGCAGAGAGAATTAGGAGAAGGGCCAGGATGTCATTCATAGGTTTTGTTTTGTTTTGTTTTTACGGTCAGGAGAGGTTTTCCTTAAAGTGTAGAAAGTTTGCACTTTGGCAAAAGTTGGATGATGAAAACAGCATATCAAATGCACTATTTTTACTAGTAATTTTAAATAAAGACTATATCATAAATTCACATTTTATCTGATACTAACTTGATACTTTGGTTAATAGTTATTTTTAATTCTACACTAACTTCAAAAAATTGGAAGAAGTAATCTTTTAAACTGTTAATGTTTTAGGCATATATTTCATTAATATAGTTTTATATTTTAAAACTTAATAATTATCTAGAAAGAAACATTAGAATTGTTTTTAAAAGTGTAATTAAGACTAAATTCTTTGCTACCATACTATTTCAATATCTGAAATGATTGGAATGTCTTATGAAATATTTTAGAAGTCATAAAATACATTTCAGTTGGGGATCTCATGTTGGAAAAAATATTTATGTGAAGGACACGGTATGTAATTTAGGAAGGATTTTGGCTGACCTAAGGAACACATTAGCTCATAATAGTTTGAAGAAGTCAGGTCTGTCATATTTTCTAAGTATATAGAATGCCATAGAGTTAAAACAACTAGCCCAAAGAAGAAAATTCTGAGGGAAGAATAGACTGGAAAAAGAGTTGTCTTTAATTGACGGGAGAAAGGCAGTGTTATGAATGAGAATTTGACTTTAAGAAACAAGAATGCATGTTTATTAGATACATGAATTCATTTGAGTAGGAGTTATACTAATATTTCTAATTGCCAGGTATGGTGGTATATGACTAATCCCATCATTCTGGGAGGCAGAGGCAGGAGGATGGCAAATTTGAGCCCAGCCTGGGTAACTTAGCAACTTAGCAAGATCCTGTCTCCAAAAGAAAAAAGGAGGGGGAAGCTGAGGATGTAATTCAGTATGAAGGCCCTGAGTTCAGTCCCTAGTACTGCAGAAACAAAAACCATTCAATATTATAACCTACTAAACAAAAATGTCCAGGACAGTTAAAGGGACAGAATAAAACTGTCATTTTTTCCAGTTTATTTGTATAATTAGTCTTATTGCTATTAATTGATACTATTAACTATTCACTATATTTCTATATTAAAGTAATACACCCTGTGCATAATTCTTTCCCATCCACAGTTGCATTTTGGACTGGTATGGCTGTGCTGGTTGACTCTTTGATGCCCCCAGCCCCACCCCGTGAACGCATTCCCCATCTTGCCTGCTAGTTTTGTCTCTTTGGCCATCCCTCCTCCTTTCTTATTTGTCATACATTCCAGTATCGTCAAAGACAATGAATTTGAGATTATAAAAAGTTTTTAACCTTGGAAGAGCTAATTCTTGTCATCAACTCTGAATTTTAAATTTCTCATATAAGTTACACAGATAAATGCTAAAAATCTTCAAATTAAAAAGTTAAATTGTTATTTTTTGATGCTTCACATTGTTCCCATTTAGCATGGTATATCCAGTAGAAAAATAGTTTCCTACATTTTGTGTGTAGAATCTGATATATCAGAGGTGAATAGAACTAATTTTTTGACATGTAATCTTTTTTTTTGTATATCCTTTTATTGGTACATTTTAGGTGTTGACATGTAATCTTAATTCTGATTTAATTGGAAGTTTGTAGTGACTCCACTTATCTAGTAGAATTTTTAAAGTATAATAAAATTCTTAGAATGTTTACTTTTGGTTTCCTTTCCAGAGTTTATTAACTCTGCTGTATTTTTCATACTAATAAATTGGTACAATGTACTAGATATTATGTTTAAATTTAGAAAGATCTTCAAGGTGTCTCTTAGCTCTAGAATATCCTGATTGACAAATACATATTTTTAGATCAAGTATGATAGGTCAGATTTGGCAAACATGTATCTGCATACATACTTACATATATATCTAAGATAATACTTTTGAGATTTTTAATGTAATTGTACATAATAGTGAATATAAAAATGGGTTTCTATCAGGTGTTTAATTGCTATAAAATTTCTCAACTTTTGCAACTCCACCATGTCATTCTTTCTATGGTAATTGAAGAATGATATTACTAATTTTAAATTACAGAGTTGATTAGTTCAGTATAAGACAACTCCTTCAAACCTGTTCTAAGTGAACAGTAAATACATAAGTGTACATAATGTGCCATCTCTTAAAAATACTGTAGGAATTGTAAGAACATTTTTTGTAAAATCTCATCAGGAAGAAAATCAGTAGTAAAAAGTAGAAAATTTCTTGTTCTGTTTTAATGTTAATTGTTATAGCTATTGAATGTTTCTAAAGTCTGTGGATATTTTGATAAGAATGTTATCTCTGATATTGTCTTATGTTTATCATCCAGAAATATCGAGTGCTGGGTTACATTGCAAATTTTCGACTGCTTGCAGAGCTTTCCAGCCCTTTTGTGAATCAGCGGTAGGTTACTGGTAACATTAGTTGTTTTTAAATTGTTCTGTTTATTTTCAGTTTCAAGAAACCTTGACTCCTAAGATGATAAAGCTACCATATCAAAAAATGAGAATATGAGATATAAGTTATTGTTATCATTATCATTGTACAAATGAGGAAAATGAGTCCTGGAGAGGTTAGGGTAGCTTTCTCAGTTTTCCCCAGCTGGTCACTGGTAGCGCTAGCTTTTGAACCCAGCTGTGTTTGCAATATGACTGTGCTTTGTTATACTTGGCTCCAGGGCATTCTTTTACCCTCCATCATCTATGCTGCAAGTTGGACTGAGTTCAGTGGAGTTCTTCGTGGAAAAGAACAAATACCACTCTCAGTCATCTTGGGTCTAGTTTATATTCCTGCTGCTAACTTCCTTCTTTCTCTAACTTCTGATAGCAACATTATCTTAGTTTTTCAATTAAAAAATAATTCAAAAAAAATTACAAACTACTTTTATTTCAAATATATGCACTATCAGTAACTAACAGTATATAATATTGATAGGCATTGTTAGATATTTTTTAACCATGCCAACCATTTTTAAGAATACAATTCATTAGTGTCAAGTATATTCATGTTGTTCTACAGCAAATCTCTAGAACTTTTTCATCTTGCAAAATTTGAGAGTATAATCATTAAACACTAATTCCCCCATCTCCAAGACTACTTTAGATACTTCCTATCAATGGAATCGTTATGGTATTTATCCTTTTGTTTGTGATTGGCTTATGTAGCTTAGCATAATGTCCACAAGGTCCATGAAGTTGTAGCAAGTTCAGGGTTTCCTTTTCTAAAGCTTCATACTATTCTCTTGTATCTGCCTACCACATTCACTTTATCTGCTCAGCCATCCATGGTCATTTGTACTTCTTGGCTATTGTGAATAATGCTATGATGAACATGGGTACACAAATATCTCTTTGATATCTTGCTTTGAATCTTTTAGATATATATTCAGAAGTCAGATTGCTGAATTTTATACTAGTTTTGTATTAAATTTTTTGAGAAACTTTCATACTTTTTTCCAGAATGACTACACATTTTTGCCTTTCCCCCAATAGTGCACAAGGAAGTTTGTCCATAGTATTTTCTGTCTTTGTCGTTGTGGCTATGTTAATGGTTTTTGAGTGATATCTCATGGTTTTGATTTGCATTTTTTCTGTGATTTATGATGTTGAGCATCTTTTATGTATCTATTGGCCATTAGTGTATTTTCTTTAAAGAACTGCCTATTCAAATCCTTTGGCATTTTTAAATTAGTTTATTTTTTTTTTCAAATTGGAATACTTTTGTATATATTCTGAATATTAAAGCTTTATCAAATATGTGATTTGAAAATATCTACTCCCATTCATAGGTTGCCTTTTCATTGTATCATTGTTTTGTGGGTTTTTTTGATATACAGAAGTTTTTAATTTTGATGAAGTCTCATTTGTTTTGTTTTTGTTTCCTGTGTGTTTGGTGTCATAACTAAGAAATCATTTGCCAGATTTAATGTCCTGAAACTTTTCACCCTTTATCACGTATGCTGCTCCATCATATATTTTTTTCTAGGAATTTTATAGTTTGGTCCTACATTTTGATATTTAATCCATTTTGAGTCAATTCTTTATGTTGTATAATGTAAGGGTCCAGCTTTATTCTTTTGGAATGTGTGTTGAAAAGATCATCCTTTCGCCATTGTGTAGTCTTGTTTCTTGGTGTCCTTGGTAAAAAGCATTTGACCATATATGCAGAGGTTTATTTCTGGGCTTTCTATTCTGTTCTATTGTGCGTGTGTGTGTGTGTGTGTGTGTGTGTGTGTCCATCTTTGTGTCAGTACCACACATATTGATTACTTTAGTTTGGTAATTTGTTTTGAAATCAGAAAGTATCAGGTTTTCAACTTTGTTATCCTTTTTCAAGATTGTCTTGGGCTTGGCATGGTGGTGCACCCTTCCCACCTACTTGGGAAGCTGAAGCAGAAAAATCATAAGCTTGAAACCAGCCTTGGCAACTTAGTGAGATCTTCTTTCAAAATTTTAAACTTAAAAGGGGTGGGAATGTAGCACAATAGTAGAGTGCTTGCCTACCATGTGTGAGGCCATAGGTTCAATCCCCAACATTGAAAATAAAAAAAAGATTACTTTGGCTATTCCCTTAAGGTTCCATATGAATTGTAGAGTATTTTGTTCTATTTTTGTAAAATAATACCACTGAGATTTTGATAGGAATTGCATGGAATGTTATTGCATGGAATTTTATTGGATAATACGAATATTTTTATAATCCTTCATCTTCCAATCCTTGACACGGTGTTTTTCCATGTATTTTTGTTTTTGATTTGTTTTAGCACTGTTTTCACTCTATCATTGGACAAGTCTTACCTCCTTGGTTAAGTTTATTACTTAGTATCTTATTCTTTTTGATGCTGTAGTACATGAGATTGCTTTCTTAATTTCCTTTTCAGATTGGTCATTGTTTTTATACATTAGATTTATAGAAAAGCTGCAAAGATATTTCGGAACACCCTTATATGCCTTACCCTGTTAGTTTTCCCTATTGCTAACATCTTACATTATCATGAAACATTTGTCAAAACTATGAAACCAGCATCGGTAAATTACTATTAAGTAAACTCCAGATTTTATTTGGTTTTATCATTTTTCCCATTAGGGTCCTCTTTCTGTTGCAGGATCCAGAGTGCCACACTGCATTTGTTTCTCCATTTTGAGCATGTGTCTCCGTAGTCATTTTGGTCTGTAGCAGTTTCTTGATCTTTTCTTGCTTTTCTTGACCTTGAATCCTTATTAAGGAGCACTGGCCAGTTTTCTCATAAAAAGTTCCCCAATCGGGGTTTTTGTGATGCTTTTCTCATGTAAGGATAAACTTACAGGATATGAGAAAGAATCCCATAGAGGCGAAGGGCTCTTCTTATCCTGGGTATGTGAGGGCCATATGACATCACTGTTAATATTTACCTTCATCATTTGGTTAAGGCGGTGTTTGCCAGGTTCTTCTATTGTAAGTTCTTTTCTTTTCCATACTCTGTCCTTTGAAACCAAGCTTTGAAGTAAACAAACCTTCAAGGTTATGAAGGAAAGAGGGAGTTGACTACTTTTGACAATAGACTTATTGTTGTCATTTGTCACTTTTGTCATTTAACAGAGGCTTACTGATTCTTTTCCTTTGTGTTGTTTAGCTGCCCCTTTGTCTCCACATCTGTGGTCCAAGTTTAGGCTTCAGGTTCTCCAGCTACTATTCAGTGTTGTATCCTTACTGTCTGCTCTAATTGTGGTTGTTCTTACCTTCTTTCCTTTATTTTCTCATATCTTTAGTTCCTCAAAAATCTTTGTAAAACTTATCTGTTGCACAAGTTTTAAGACAAAGTCCAAAAACCAGGGAGGACTTTTATGATTGATTATATGTCATCTTTTGTGATTCAGTACAGGAATAACACAGAATTGGGAGTCTCAGATACATCTAAGAGTTTACCCTGTATCAAGCCTTATGAATATTTCAAGGATATTGGTAATCATGAGGCATCTAGATGTTCAGGGCTATCAACATGACTCCTGCGTCCTTTTCCATTGAGTACACTGTGGAACAGGATTACCTGTAAAGTCTCTAAGTGATGTGTGTAGTTCATATTGCTAATACAGAAGGAACTCTCTTAGTTATGAAATATCTCCATTTAATACTCAGTTACATAGCTTGTGTGACATCTGCAGGAGGTCAGACCCCATAAATCCATACCTTCCTGAGTTTTCATAAATAATCCTAAACTACGTGCATCCTGCTAAAAGCAACACATAAAGGCTTTTCTGTTACAAGTACCATTGCAGGTCTGACATTAGTGCGTTTACCAGACAATTAGCCTTGGATCATTTGCCTTTTTTTGTTGTCATTGTCTTTTTGACACTAAGGGAAGGGAGAATGGATTGATGTTTCCACCTCAAAGCAAAAAAGGAATTACAGATCTTCTTCTCAGCCTTTTCTTTGTCAGATATTATATAAATTCTATTTTGTTTGCCAGTGTTTCATGTATTTTAATTTCTTCAAAAAGATTATCAGTTCCTTGGGCTTGAGGCCATTTAAATATATTTTTAAGAAATAATTTTCTATTATCCTCCAAGACTCTGATAATGTGAAAGCATACAGGAAAGAGCATGTTCTTTGAAGTTATAAGACCTGAATTTAAATGTACCTTTTCCCACTTAGCATTTTGTATGAACAGAATATGATTTAACCTCTCTGAGCTTCAGTTTTTTCACCTATAAAATTGTAGCAATGATGTGTATAGGCCTCACAGTTTGCTGTGAATGTTAAATGGATCTATGTATGTAAAGCTCTTGGCACAGTGCTTGTCGTTCAGTCTGTATTCAGTAAGTGCTAAACATAGTAAATATTCATTATGCTAAAACTTAGTAAACATTGGAAGTGCATAGTTTATATTTGCATTCTCTATTTTGGCACATCTTTTTTTTCTGTTTAACCCATTATAATTAGGTTTCTTCCTCTTCCATTTTGCTAGAATAGTTTCATTAAAGGCACTGATGGCTTCCAGTTTCAAAATCTAATGAACTCCTTTCAGTGTTGTCATATCTGTCTGTGGACTCGAATATGTTGATCACACCCTTTTAATGCCAAACTCTATGTGCTTTCATGACACCTTACTCACCTGGTTCTCCTTGTATTTCTCTGACCATCCCCTTTCAGTCTTTTTTCATAAGGAACAGCTATTTAAATGCTGATGTTTCCCAGGCTCTCTTCAGGCCCACTGCTCTTCTCTGAGCAGAAGAGCACTCTCTGGGTGAGTTCTTTCCTCACAAGTTCTTCACCTCTTACCTATGCTCATCTTGATGCAATGAATTATGTATGAGTTTTGGAGTCAGACCACTTCAAGTTTGCCACTTACTTGCCGTGACCTTGGACAAGTGTATTAGACAGTTTTCTTATTGCTCAGACACAATGCCTAACACCTACAACTTAAAGGAGGAGAGGTTTAATTTGTTCATGGTTTCAGTCCATGATTGACTGGTTCTAAGTCAGAAACATCCTTGTGGAAGGGTATGGCAGATCAAAGATGCCTAGTTCATGGGGACCAGGAAGCAGAGAAGGAGAAGAGTACCAGAAAGGAATAGGCAAGGGACCAGGTATAGTACCCAAGGGACCATATAAGTATCCAACTTCTTAATCCAGTGAAGTTGACATATGAAGATTAACAGTCACAACCCACCCCTTGTCAGCTTCAGAGCCAAATGTATCTCCTTAAACTATAATCTCTAAATAAAGACATAGCAAATTCGTAATTCTGCCTAACAATCTATCTCACGTACAACCAGAAATTCAATAATCCTTTTTTCAAAATTTTTTTCAAAATTTCAACAGTTTCAACATTTTTCAAAAGTCCAAGTCTCTTCTGATAACTCAAGGCAAGTTCTTGGATGTGAAACTAGGTAAAAAACAAACAAACAAGTCACATAATCTAAAGGTATAAGAGCACAGGTACATTCCTATTCCAAAAGGGAAAAATAAGGGGATAGAAGAGAATCAGACCAAAGCAAGATCAAAACCCAGCAGGACAAAAATTAAGTCTTATAGCTTCATATCTGGCATCCATGGTACACAGTGGTAAAATTTGAGTTCCAAAAGGCATGGGTGGTCCCATCCCAATGGTCTTACCAGTTGGAGCCCACAGGACCTCTCTCTTGTCTGGCTCCATTCATGGCCTGCGGCTTTCCTTGGCAGACATTCCTCGAATCTCCAATTTCCTGAAGTGTCCACCACACCTTTGGCCCAGGAACTCCCTTCTAAAAAGAAAAGTTGACACTTGCATCCTTGAACCTGCAATGGATGGAGTCTTGATTCCTGAGATGCCCTCGAGGCATCTTTCTTTTGACCCTGTCAAAGTACTTACTTTCTTTTTTAATGTTGCTTATCTCTTTAGCAACCACATCTCTTTTGGCACCAATTTTACACATTGTTCTTTTGGGGTCAAAATTTATGTTTTTCAATTTTTTCTGCTCTGCCTTTTGCCCATAATTCTCACTACCAATCTGGCTAAAAGTAGCCAGTAGTACCCATGCTACAGCTTGAATGTTAGACTGTCTTGCAATTCCCTCCACAGGATTAATACAACGCCCTTAATCTCACTCTCCCACAAAGCCTCATGACATGAAAAAAATGTAGACAAATTTTCTGCCAGAGATTAACACACATGGCCTGTAGTCCAACTAACTGCCAGTGGAGTCCTTGTTCCCAATTGAAACCTCCTGAGCCTGGCTTTTACCATCTGCATTCCTATTAGCATTCTAGCTTTCTGAGCTCTGACCAGAATTACCCATCAGGCTCTGTTTACAACTTTCTAAGACTTTTATATCCCATATCCTTAAACCTTTCCAAACGCCTCTCACAAACCAGTTCCAGAGGCTTCTAAACCATGTGGTTAGGCATAGTCACAAGGTCCCCATTCTTGTTACCAGTGTTCATCACTGAGACATAATACTCCACACCCAAAACTTAGAGAAGGAGAGGTTTAATTTGTTCAGAGTTTCATTCCATGATCAGCTGACATTGTGGCAGAAGGGCATGGTGGAACAACACTGCTTAAGTTCATGGCAGTTGGGAAGCAGAGCAGGGGAAGAGTGCCGGAGAGGAATGGGTGAAGGACTACATTTACTGCCAAAGATATGCCTCCATCATTCACCCAGACATAACCAGGAGTGTACTATACTAATCTGCTAAGCTTTTCTTAATCCAGTGAAGCTGTCATATCAGGATTAATGGTCACAACAAGTTCCTTAATATCCCTCTACTACAGTTGTGTACTCTATACAAAAAAAGACTTTAATATTATGTTTCTTTGTATTACAGTCAAATGTTTTCTTCTCTCTGCATTCTCTTGATCCGTATGTGCCCCATCTGTTCATTCACTTAATTACTCCTGATGATGTGGGAATCAGCTAATAATTTCTTCCTCACCTACATTTAGTTCATTACTAGGTCCGGCCATGTAACTTCCTAAATATTTCTTAGTCTTACAATCTCTTCTCCATCTCTGCTGTTGGTGCCCTAGTTTATCAACTCTACCTTGGGCTGCCTTACCAGCTTCTAACTGTACTGTTCAGTAGAGTAGTCACATACCACATACAGGCTAAGTGTCCCTTATCTAAATTGGTTGGGACCAAAGGGGTTTCATATTTTGTATCTTTTAGGAGTCTGGAATATTTGTATATGCATAATGAGATCTCTTTGGGGAGGAGACCCAAGTCTAAACATTTATTTATATTTTATATACACTATATACATAGAAAATAAAGGTACATTTAGATAATATTTTAGTGTACCCATGTTTTAACTCATATACTTGTTTTCCATCTATACATATTTTCTAATGAGATGTTTTAAGATATTTTGTCCTTGTTTTAATTGAGTTGTTTCCATATTGTTGGGTTTTAAAAATTCTTGGTCCACTTTGATATACTTTATCATATGGGTGTATTATAAATATTTTTCTCCCAGTGGATGATTATCTTTTCATTCTGTTAAGAGTATTTCACAAAGTTTTTAATTTTAGTGAAGTCCAACTCATCATTTTTTTTCCCCATGATTTGCATTTTTGGTGCTATAGCAAAAGACCATTACCAAAACTGAGATCATGCAGATTTTTTCCTGTTTTCTTCTGGAAGTTTTATAGTGTGTTTTACTTGAAAGCCTTTATTCTACTTTGAATTAATTTCTGCATGCTATATAAGATCTCTGCTTAAGTTCATTTTTCTGCATATAGATAGATCGTTGTATAGTTTTATCAAAAATATATTCTTTCTCCATTGAATTATGCCTTTGTCAAAAATCAGTTGAATATATTTGTGTGAGTCTGTGAGCTTTCTGTTTTATTCATTGATTTATTCTTCTATATTGTCACCAGTGCCATGCTGTCTTGATTATTGTAGCTTTATAGTAAGCTTTTGAAGTGGGTAGTGAGTCCTCCAACTTTGTACTTTTTTGTTATTGGGTTGGCTATTCTAAGCCCTTTGCCTCTCCATATAAAATCCTAAGAGAGTGTTGCCTTGCTAAATAAATTAAAAAATAAAAATAGGATGTTGCAGAATAAATGTGATCTTTCTTTAATTCTCTTTTCAGGTGGTTCTTTGAAGCTCTGAAGTATCCAAAGTTTTCCAAAGCTAATGTCATCAATGGAATTCTCATGACAGTCGTGTTCTTCATTGTGCGTATTGCTGTAATACCTCCTTTCTATAGCTTCTTGTATTCCGTGTATGGAACAGAACCCTACATCAGGCTGGGATTTGTAATACAGTGTTCCTGGATCTCTACTTGTATTGTTTTGGATGTGATGAATGTCATGTGGATGATCAAAATCTCTAAAGGGTGCATCAAAGTCATCTCTCTCATCAGACAAGAGAAAGCCAGTAATAGTCTTCAGAATGGAAAACTTGATTAAAGGTGTGGTTTGTCAAACACCTTTGACTAGATAAGCAATCTTCATTTCTACCCAGCATTATATCTACTAATAGGATGAATTGGCATGTTCTTGTGCTTCCTTATGAATTATCATTGTTATTCAGGGTTTCGGTGTCATATTTTCTTTTTTTTAGAAGAAACTAAAATTTAGTCTTTATTCCAAGCTTTTCCCTTTTCTTCTGCATTATAAGCATGGATAAAATCTTAAAGTTTTAAATAAAAATTATAGATATAGTGGTGAATCTTTTCCGAAATCTCATAGCCTGCATTAGTATTTTTCTCTGTGGAAAGATGACTATGATAATTTGGTGCACTTGGTGTGCTGCCACTTTTGCTGAAAAGTTGGGAACTACTTTTAAATCTGTAAATAACTTTGGACATTTTTTTGTATTGTACCTTTTTCTTTACGTCAGCACCTATGTAGGTTTTTATTTCCAAATTGTTGACATGATCTTTTCTCCAGACTATTAAAAGTGACATTTTCTATTTTAGATATGCAGTCATCTACTAGTGATGAATTATTTTACTCAGTTTGAGGATTTTTCATTAGTTTAATCATGGAATATACTTCCTGGATTTTAAGATTTTTTTTAGATGTCACATTTCTATTTCAGTATTTTATCACCTTATTTTTTTTTATTTTGTAGTAAGGCTTAAGGCAGATATTGTGGACCTCTTTTAAGGATGAGATTCTTCCAGCCACCACTGGACTAGGCTAATACTGTTGATGAGATCTGTAAGAAAAATCATTTTAATGTTGCTGTCTGCTTCCCTTTTATTTTTTCTAAGAAAAATATTTTATTCTTATGTGTAAAATCTCCCGAGTTCAGAACCTGACGCTATCAGTAGTCTTCTTATGCAATATGTTTCATCATGCTCCTAAAATAGGCCTCTTCTGGACTAGATCAAAATGGCAAAATAATCAGTATTCATGTTTTACTCCGTTTACATGCATACTTGCTTACTCAGCACTTTCAGTGCTTTGAATTTCTGTCTTTCTTAAAAAAGCAGGAAGGAATAAGGTAATTTAATCCAAGCATTCTGGTTATCAAAATTACTGTCTTAACATGAAAATAAATGACTGTGTGTGTGTATATGTGTGTGTGTATGTATGTTCACTTTGGTTTTTGCAGTGTTAATATAGAATTATTTAACTCTTGTTGCCTGTGTTTTTCTCAAACACTTCACTTTAATGATTGTTCTTAACCTAAGGAAAAAATTTAATTCAACTAGTGGTAAATACTTGAACTTAATTGAACCCAAACCAAAAGATTTAATTCATTCAGTTTCCCAATTTGAAGGAAAATGTTTGATTCACTTTCATTGTTTGTGTTATGATGAAAGGAGACTGGCTGAATATAATCAAGACTCTTAATTTGATTTGATTGTTCACTGTGGCTGGAGCCAGATAAGTTCTAGAGCATTTAAAAATGGAAATTGAAAATTTAGTCAATAACTAATGATGAAATGAGGTTGATTGGCTTATAAAATGTACATTTATTTTTGGCAAAGTAATGTAAAATGTAGATATTTATTTTAAAAGCAGCTAATATTAATATTGATAATTGATCATTAAATTTATTGATGACCACATCATAGTCACTTAAATATGTATTGGTTATCTAGAGGGGGAGGGTGTAAGAAAGAAAGTGATTTTATCTTGTTCATGCTCTTTTGCAAGAAAAGTGGCTTTTTAAAAAAGGAAGACATTTATATTATGAAACTATTTTGGAAATTCATTCCTTTACAAAAATAAATGTTGAAATAAACATTTTTGACTCCTTGGATATTTCTATAATTCTGGCCACCATGTTTGTATTTTTTTTATATTTCTGTAATTCTGAACAAGATTTTAAACCCCTCATCCAAATGATACAATATAAAGCTATATTAATGAGTTTCCACGTAGTAGTTTCAATAGTTGTTTCAAGCTTGAAACTTCATTTTTACTTTCGTTCACATTACCTTTCTCTGATGGTATGGATGGTCACTAGTAGTATATTTAAAATAGCAAAGTTTCAAAGTTGTTATTTCCTTAGTCTGCAGTCTCTATCTTCTGCATGACTGGCTGCATGACAGTTAATTCAGCATCCAAATTCATTTTATAAAAGTAGGCTGTATATATTTCTTTTTTTTATTTTTTATTTATTTATTTTTTAGTACTGGGGATCAAACTCAGGACCTTGCACTTGTGAGGCAGGCACGGTGCCACTATGCTAAATCCCCAGCCCTGTTTGTATACATTTCTTCATAAAACAGAAATGAAATGGAAATGCTACTATAAAGTGCCATGTTACTTTAAGTCAGATCTTTACAGGAGCTGTACTTTGCTGTTCTGTAATTGTATCCATCTACCTAAAATACAAGTAAAAGTAGAACATATCATTTATTAAACAATGAATTTTTCATTTACTAAATGCCAAACTTTTGCTAGACATATTAAATGTCAAGTATTTTGACTACATGGATTAACTTTAATGATTATATTAGGCATGATATTTAACAACACTAATAAATTATTTGTAGAAAATAAAAGCAAATTGGTATACATTTTTAAGCAATTCTATTTTTCTAGAAAAGATTAGTAACAACCTGAATGTGTAGAATTCTAGAAAATAAGTTATTGTGAAACTTAAAAATGAATGAAAATCAACTAGTAGCATGCAAGATCATAGATCCTGCATTAAATATTTTATTTGTAAGAATTTAAAAATTATGAGCTTGGGTTTATAAAATTTACATTCTTATGTATAAATCTTGAGGGTTCTTTGCATTTATTTAAAACTCAAAATGGCATTTTATATGAGTGCAAACAAAGTAACTCAATCTTAAATTACCCCATAGTATGCTAATTTTTTATTCCAACTGTTATTTTATTTCATAGACTAGTTCCATGTTAAGAGAAATGAGTTAGGTCATTATCATCTTTAAGAGTAATTTTGCTATATTAAAGATGACCCAATGCTGTCTTAAAAGTTTTAAAAACTGCCTAGTTTGTAGGTATTTGAATCAAATTCTTTTCTAAATTTAATAGTTGACTCATCAAATTTTACTCTAGCGTCAGTTTTTAAATTGTATACTTTCTCTGACACACACTGGCCATCTGAGGAAGGGCTGTTCATGGTGTGAAGAGCCAGCTTTACTGTCAGCAGCACTATTTATTATCCTGCATTTAGAAACATTCTCACAGAGATGCAGGGGGGAAGTGTGATCATAATGTACATGCTTCTGCTGTTTCATTTTTTAATGGAAATAAACATGTTCCAAATGACCCTATTACACATTTGAACAAATTATGATTTTTATGTTGCTCTTAACTCCAGATATGTAAATATGCGTCTGAATTGGCTTTAGTCAGATGTGAAATTGAAAAAAATTGAAAAACTTACATATTGGTTGACATTATCAGTTATATTTCATAGAAGCCTATGTATTTATTTGTATGTGTTTTGGATTCCATAAGAGGTGAACATGTCACTTTATCAGAAGAAGGCCACAGTGTGTTCAAGTGCCGCAGGGAGCCGCTTCCTATGCGCAGACCCTGGAGCCACGCATACCTCCCAGCCCCAACCACAACTGGCTTACACTGCAGTGACTGATACAAAACAAATGCGATGTTTGTAGCAACAAGAAAAGCTTGTAGGATCTGGAGGAGACACTGAGACTGCTTTTCCCCTAAAAGATGAAAACATCAATCTAGAAATTTTCTCTCTGAATCCATCCAGTCCTTCCATTTCTCCTGCCCGATAGCCTAGACTTCATCAGTGCCTCACTCCAAGAGGCCAGCATCTTTCTGTGTCAACTTCTGAGACCTCCCATACATCTGTAAACTTCCCAGACTCTTGTGGCAAGTTTAAAAGTTTACAAATTGATTCTGTCATTGGAAAAAAGCATCATAAAGTTAATAAATCACAATTAAGAGGCTACAGGAAGCCATTCAGCATTTAATAATATCTATTTATAACAAAGCAAAGCTAATTATGATTTTATTTAGAAACATCTGTAATCACTTTTTCTTAAACTGGTTTAGCAGTGAGTTTTGCGAAGTGTTTAAACTAGGGGTTTATTGTAGGCATGTAAATTATGTGAATGTTCTTAGATCCCATATCAGCAGGGGAGAGAAAGGAATTGAGCTGTTAGGTGGTGGGATAGGGGCCTGGCTTGCAGCATTTTAGAGTACTGCTCTTCAATAGAGAAAACTTTCTTCTGGTACTAGTTCTTTACAAATAAGCTTACTGGCTAATAGATTATTTGGTGTTTCCCAGAATACAACACTTAAGCTCTACTTTTTTCTCACCCAGACTTCAAGTAGCCTCTCCCTGCTTTGATAATGTCATACCTTGATTGGAAGATATTTTTCATACCAGTAAAGAATTGTAGGCAGCTCCTAAAGATTAGTTTTTTTGCATTGAAAATGTTTACACTTACTCTGGTTAGCAGAGTTTTGATATCTGACCCTATACACAAGACCAAAAATGATGAGAAACATTTCTAAATCTCAAAGATTTATAAGTACAGTACCTCTGGCTGAAAACATGTTTAACATCACCTATCTTTTTTTCTTTATATTTCTCTGTAATTCTTTAGTGAAATGTGTGTTAGTTACTTACTACTTCTTGGTTAAAGAAACCTAAAAATATATTCATAAATAAAATGTGCTGTGTATTTTTGTTTCTTGTTTTGTTTCTGATATGATTATGTCTACTTTTTACTTAACAGACTTGTGTGTAATACTTTTAATTTGTAACTAGGATAAGTTATGAGGGTTTTTTTGGTAATTGCTAGAATTTGTAATAATAATGCCATTTAGACTTTATTGGAAAATCTACTTGAAAACTGCAGTACATGCAATAGCTATAGTGAGATATATATACATATATATACACTTTGTATGTATATATAGTTTCTTTTGAGAATATATAATACATAATATTTAATTGTAAAAGTTTTTGAAAGTTTCTCAAAAGACACTCAACATTTTGAGAACATACTTTATAATTTCCATAAGGTTGAAGAACTTTGTTTTATTTATAAAACAAAACTAGATAATTTGTAGATCAGTGTTACTAAGACTCATCAGTAATTAGAATACAATTTAGTACCCTTTATTTTGGTTTCTAGTTGGGCTTTATCTGAATTGATAATAAATATCCTTTGGTATTTTTGTTAAAATTTTTGAAATGTTTGTATACTTTATTTGTATGCGTGCCATTTTAAAGTATATGCAAGTTCTAAGCAATAATCTGCATGTTGTACAAGTCCAGCATACTTTGTCATGACAATTTTATTTATAATTAATTTTAAGAATGGAAAAGAATATTATATAACCTCCTCCTCACCATGAACACTTTGGAATTTTCTTGTGCTAGAACACTACTATAATGTAGTACAAAGGTTTGTATTTTGTGAAAAAAAAATAAAATCACGATTTAGTGCAAAAGTTTGTCTGTAAGGTGCATTCTTTAATAATAATATTATTATTCATTATTTTGCTCACATGGTATTATTTTTCTCACATCATATCTTCTAGCACCTGAATCCTAAAGGTAAATTTTTATTCCTCAGGATGTTTGTAGAGTTTGTTTACAATGTTCCCTCTCCCTCTCATCCCTGGCAGGTCTTGGCCTTTAAGCAAACAGTTTAGTTATGCTTGTTCATGGAAACAGTGGTGCTGTCTAATCTGTAGGCTATTGCAGTTTAAGTAAAACTTTGCCATTTAGGTTTTTAAGCTCCTTCCAATCTCCCTTAGACCTCTCAGTGTTTTTTTGCCAAATGTCTTGGGTGGCATTCCTGTCTTCTCAGATGATCTATGGCCTTAATCTTGCATTTTAGTCTGAGAATATCCAGTAGATCAGGAAACGGCACTCATTGAGTAGAATACTGAAGTGGTTTGGCCTTTGGAGAGTACTATGAGTCATGCTTCAGAACATACCCAAAATAATGTATCAAGACTGGCAAAAGAAGAGCTGAATTTCAATAGCAGTCACAGCTGTCAATGGAGGTGGCCCACAGGTAAAATTATAAGGTTTCAGATTCCAAGTGAGTGGAAATGGGAGGTTCTCTACCATACTTCAGGTTGTCTCAAAATATGTCATCCTTTATTCGCCTATTCTCTAGTCCTTAGCAAATTTGTCTACTGCTTTGCTTCCCCTCCCTTGTAATGCTCCGTAAGCATGCACAAAATAAGTGATTTGGCAAATTTGTAACATTTTACCCCATGCTGATAATACAATCTGACACATGTTCCCGGATCTCCCGAAAACGACTCTTCATGTAAGGACTGTGCATACCACTCTCTCTGTCTGAGTGGTTGTGCCCATAGTCTTTTACAGCACAGTGCTCATAGATCATCCTTGCCGTTGCCAAATAGTCCCTTTCTTCATCTACTTTCATGGCTGTGACCAATCTAATTTTGTCATTTTACCAGATCATTGATTATACTGGCAGAAATTACCTGAGTAGAACTTCAAAAAGGTAACAGAGATGGTGAGCTAAATTTCCATAAAGAACAAAGATCAAAGTAACGTGGAAATTTGGGGGAAAAAAAAAGGCAGGAGGAAAGGTTTTCAGAGAATAGGAAAAATAAGAAAATGCTGTGTGTGTATACATTGAATTTTGGTTGACAGGAGAGTATCAACAAAAATGAATAAACTTAATGAATGACATCTGGATATAAGTTATGACAGTAAAATACACTATATACATATTTATATATACTTCTTTATATCTATGAGGTACACGCATAAACATATGTACTTATTTGTATATATGCTGAACTGTTGGGGACATGATTAAGCCTGCTGTTTCAAAGTCATCTGTATCTGAGAACATATTTCACCACTAATCTCTTGACCAGTGATCTAATCCCTCTGAGCAGGTTAGGAATGAGAACAGCATTGTGCAGCAAGGGTCCTGGTTAGCTGCCTGAGCTTGCAGAAGAGTTCAAGTTTTGATCAGTTGTAGCTACCCAAAGCCCAACGATTAAGTTTCCTGGAAAGATTTTTGTTATCAGGCAGGGTCATCCTGAGGGTATTGAAAGATGAAATGATTGATTTTTAAAGTATACTATATTTTGGACAGAAAGTTTTTATGCGTAGATGAGGTATTAGAGGGAAGGAGTTTGGAATGTAAATTGGAAGAGAGCAAATTGGAAAGAGAAGGTACTTAAAAGCCTATGGTTAACATGAAAGAAGTATCTTAATCTGAGTCAGTTTTGTTATCTGTAGTTTAAGTATTCTGACATCTTTTCCAGCTCTCCCATCCTATTAGCGAGAGCTTTAATTTGAAGCAAAGCAATTAGGAAGGAACAAGTATAGCTTTGAAGAAGACTTAGTACTATGATTTAGATGACTTTGAGGGATATTCTCAGTGTCAGTTTGGCAGAATGACAATACAGATGTAGGTTAAGTGTCAGAAACACTAACTGCAAAGTGGGTAAACCTGATGATTGGCCTGAGAAAAGAAAGAAAAGGGCCAAATCTAATAAATATTGTTGGGGGCGGGGAGAAAACCAAAAGGATTTGGAAAAATAGTTTTTGGAACTGAGAAGAAATAGATTCCACTGAATTGTGATGTCAGAATGAGAAGCTGCAGACGCAGCAGGAGGTTGGTCAGCTCCTCTTGGTAGCTCTCAAAGGAACAGTGGATAAGATGAAAAAGAAAGAATGAATAAAAGAGAAAGTATAGTAGTTTGAAGGGCAAAGTGGAGTTTTTAACATTTTAACAATGTCAGGGGTGTTCAGCATTTAATCCAAAAATAAAAGCATGCTCAAAGGGCCACCCTGTTGGAGTTTTGATCACTTTTCTCATTCCTGACCCATAATCCTAACTTTGTCCTCTGGCACTTGTGTATTCCAGGTTCCCTACTGGACACTGACCCATGATGTCCTCACAATCCTTTCAGTTCATGCTGTCCCCAGGACTTGTGTCCCTCTGTGGTGTTGGCCCAACCCGCCAAGTCGAAGAGCTTCAAAAAAGTTTATAGATGATGGTCAGAGGCCAAGTAGAATGGAAAGGCTAAGGCTCATTAAATTGACATTTATCTAGTGGTTTCCAGATGATCAAGTGAGTTTCTGGAACAACCAAGATAAATTTATCTTGATCGACAGGCTAGCTCACAGAGCTAGCTCCCTTTTTCAGAGTAAGCGGCTATGGCCACAGTCGAGCTGCTATTTTTCTCTCAGCCTAGAGGTTAAAGACATGAGTTCACACCTATTCCAGCTCAGCTTTCTCAGGGGTTGGGCATGGAATTTCACATTTGGGATAACATGATGCGAGGACTTGTCATCTGGAAGTTAAGAGACTTGGATTCCAGTTCTGGCTCTACTATACATAGTAACCATTTTAGACAAGCGTTTTCAATTTGCTGGCATTTGATTTTTCATTTTTAAAGTGAGAAGTTGAACGGGGTGAATTGAAGGATCTTTTTATTTCAAATTCCATCATTCAATGATTTTGGTAATTGGAATCAAGGTTAGGATATGGCCCAAAGCATAGCAGGCTCAATTCCAGAATATTGCTTTCAGTTGTGTATGTTTTTGCAGGTAGCTTAAATTCTAGTATTGACGGTAATTGTGTGCCCTTGAGGGGGCCACATGTTTGGGATTCCATCTGCCTCACTTGCAAGAAGAGATGGTATCATTTGCAATCAAAGAACCTAGCCAAAAAGGCTGAATGTAATATTTGCTGAGTGCTTCTCAACATTCCTAGGGGGAAGAGATAAAGTTTTAATGATGTACTTTCCCACTATACTTGCAGCCAAGTTGATTTTTAAAATATTCTTCCAAGTATTAATGTTTGAAACATATAAACATCTCCATCATGATATCCAAATATGGAAGTCATCTTCTTTATTTCCCACAATAAAAATACTCATCAGAATGGAATTTAAGAATAAAAATATAAATAGTAAGTTATTTATTCCTTCTCTCATTATCTGAATTGTCCATTATCTTGAGAAGCTAGTTCATCACAAATGGGTCAGTTACCTTGGTTGACTCAGTGTTGGGTAATCGGGACGTTTTACAAAATTCCTGTAATCTTAGTGACCATAACCAAAGGCTGCAGAGTTATTTAGTGGATTTTGTTGTGAGTCTAACCAGGATGAAGTGGGATGTGGGAATTATTGGCAATGCTTAATGCCTGTGTTTGGTTGGGTGCTACACTTATTCTTGCAAATTTATTGGTCTTTATCAGACTGGTGATGGAATTATCTGTAGTAGATTCACTCCAGAATTTTACACTGATCTGGATGATCAGTGGGTAGATTCACTAAGACACTATATCATGATAGAAAGTAATGTAAGAAGTAAATCTATCTGTTCTGAAGGAAAATATGGTTAATTTCTTAGCATTATAAATAGATAAAATAAATACTAATTGTAGTTTATATTCTGAAGAGGGAGGAAGTAAATCCATATGCCAGTGTGTTAATTTTTTTCTTTAAAAACTACTGAGAATTTGGAGCTTTTTTAAAAAAGGAATCTAAATTGTTTATATGAAAAGTGAAACCAGAAGGTCTGTACTCCATTCCCCATCCCTTTTATAACTTTCTGATCATTAACTTCAATTCTGAAATATGTGGATCAAACCAAATGCTTGTTTTGTACGCTTAACCTGGGCCACAGAAACTTGCTGGAAAATCATGCAACCTTGTGTGTTGGAACCTCCACAAATCCTAGATCTCTGTCATCTACTAAATAACATTAATGCTCTATTCTAGGCAACATGTAAGGCGGAGGATATAAGCAGTGAACAAACTTGCACTAAGCCCAAGGGGAAGCTGCATGTGTCAGAAGAAGATACTCTGCACAGGAATCAGCAAGTGCAAAGTCACTGAGGTGAGGATACTGTGTTGTGTTCAGTGGCAAGGAGGCCAGTGTAGCCAGAACATGGCTAGTGAGGAGTATGAGAGATGGAAAATGTGGACAAACAGGTAAACAGGTGCCAGATCATGTGGGGCTCTTAGGCCGTTGTGTTTGGCTTCTTACCATGCTTAAAATGAATATTCCAGGTTTTAAACAGTACAGATGAGAAATAATATGGGCTGAAGTCTAGGCTTTCATTTTTACCACAATCCACAGGAAGAAATATTTTTTATGTAGCGACTCTGTACATAAACGTACATTAACAAAAATTTCATGAGACAGTGTCTTTACCCTGAATGATGTACTCTGAGATTTTCTATCCTCTTTCATGGTAAAAGAGGAAATGCTGGTTGTCACCCACTAAACTGATTTCATAATTCATCAGTGGGTTGCAGTCCACAGTTTGTAAAATGTTGGTTCTGACTAAAGTGGTGATGGTAGAGATGAAGAGAAATGGATGGATTCAGGACATATTTTAGAGGTAGAGTTGACAGTGGTTGTTGATGGACTTTTTATGAGGCTAGAGGGAAAGCTGTATAAATGATGATTTTGTACGATTTTGGCTCAAACAAAT